ACTCTTGGATTATTTTGTGAATTAGTGTCATAGTTACATTTGTTTTAGCAGTCTTTTTTACAATGTGTTAATTTATTTATAAAATAATCAGTTCTGGCTCCTTGTATAAGTGATTTGACATTTCTCTTTTTTGTTTGTAGTTTTTCTGGAATCCCATGTTGTGTCTGCCATTTTTGAGAGCTTTATGAACGCTATTTCTATCTGTTATTGTTCTCTTGATGTCGTTGTTTATCCATGGAGCAGAAGGACGTCTAACAGTTTTAGTAACAAATGGAGCGATGGCGTCTAATCTGTCATTAATCACTTCCATAAAGGCATTTATCTGTTTGTCCACGTTATCTGTTTGCAAAAATTCTAAAAGAGTTGATTCCTTGGCAATTATTTGTTGACATAATGACTGAGATGATGGTTCATTCTCGGAAACTTTTTTTGACTGGTGGTCGTTTTCATTTCTTTAAATTAAGTGTCACCGTTATGAGTTCGTGATCGGCAACATGGCATGGAATGACGTTTGTGTGGAGAATGAGGTCAGCTCTGTTTGTTATTATTACATCAATTGATGATGAAGTGTTTTCTGTGACCCTTGTAGGTTTGTTGACTATTTGTTCTATTTATTTTTCTTAATTATATTAAGTAATTTTGCATTAGGTTTATTCAAATCATCATTTAAATCACTCAGGATGAAAAGAGGTTTCTTTTAAGCATCATTCCTCTAAAAACTTTTTCTGTATAATCAAAAGATTCAGAGGAACCATGAGGATGCCTATAGGCTGCGCCTACAATGAATGACGGAAGCATATTGCATTGTACGTTAACCCAATTATCCTCTACATCTGCACTCCTTGCAGTTGTAGAGGACCCTGGTGATGAGTTGCATCACTCCACTGGCGATTTGGACTGATTGATTGATTTTGATTGTTTTTCTTCTTATTTTGCTTTTTTCTCTAAAGCTTCGTCTAGGCTTTACTTGTGTACCTGCTTCGCTTTGCTTGTTGGCAAGCGGGCTGTTCATGGACTGCTTAGGTGGTCTGGTCCTCGGGGAGGCTGGCGAGTTAGCAAGGGCGCACGCCTGCTCGCTCGCTGCAGGCGTGGAGAGAGGGGAGGTGGGCGGGAGGAAGAGGGAGCTGGGAGGGTCACTGGTCACGGGTACAGCAGACAGAGAGTGTGGAGGGTGATTTCTGGGTGGAGGAAGAGGGCATTCTGGTGGGGGGAGGAGATGCAAAATGGAAAGATTGGTAGGAGGATTGGTCAAGAGCGGGGAGGGGTGTTGGATGAGAGTTGGTGGGGTGGGGGGCGGGTCTGGTGTGCCGCCTGCTGCCTCTTCCCATTCCACGGGACCACGAGTTGCCATGGTTTGCTGAGTTGTTTGGCTGAGTCGGAGAGGAGGCGAAAACACGTCCGATCACGACGGCGGCTAGACTATATATGTGTATATATACGAGGGGCGCTCATTCAAGATTTGACTTGCATTCAGCAAGCCCGACAGAATAGGAGACATCCATGTGCAAGCTTCTTCAGTGCCTCCAGCAGATCTTTGATGTTTGGTTTCTTACACTTAGTTCTTTATGACGTTTCATGGGGTTCAGATAAGGTGAGTTATCTTGCCACTCTAATACATGCATCCCAATGTCATTTACAAACTTTTGGACTGTCTCTCACTGGTGACAAGGGACGCTACCAGCATAAAAAAAATCATGTTTATGAATTCCCAAAGGACTGACAAATATGCCCTCAGTACGTTAATGCAATCACTTCCTCGCGATGTAACATTCTTATTCTTAATTAAGAAATCCCAAACCATCACACTGTCCGTATACCGTGTACATAAGCACGATTTGTGTAGGCCATCAGAAATAGACCAAAAGCTGTTGGCCACGTGGTTCGAAGTCGAGTAAAGAACCAACGACTCAGCGAGGTTTCGTCTGGCCTATGAGCTCGTGCGTTCCCCTTACTGTGTAGAACTCTTTTTCAATAAAGAGTCAAGCCATTATAACCACTACCACCACCCAACCAGTCATAACCAATGTATTAAAAGTTCTATAGCCGTTTACAGTCTGTCTCGCCTGTGTATTTCGAAACCGCAGCGCGATTCAGAGTTGGATAACGAAGATATGCGAAGGCAGCCCGGCCTGTGCCGACTCGATTAGTGTGCGTCAGCTGGCGACAATTGCAACTTCTCGTACCTGAGTGGGATGCGAATCACCGACCCCTCGGATGGGAGGCCGACACGTTACCACTGTACTAGCCCAGAGGCTGCGAAGATGGGGCGACGCACGAACTTAAACTTCCCCTTGCAAGTCTGAAAATGCTTTCATCACTCAACATCACTTTTTCCAATTGGATAGTATCTAGCGTTGGTACTTCCTTTTTTTTAACTTTGGTGAGTAGAGGCTTCGTAATTACGAGCCGATTTTTTTTTTCTGAAGGCGATGCCGGATAGCTCTTGAGGATGCTTGTTCTTAAATGTTGTTGTTATAGTAAGTTTATCCCCTTAGGCTTGAGCATCATGTCGTTCTTGGCAAAGTCTTCGTTGGCGATACCAAACCATGTTTCCTCTGTTTTATGTCTCCGCCTGCAAGTGTGGCAGCAGCCTTTTCGAGTCATAACTTGCCTGCTTTGATACCTCCATATCAGCAGATACATTCACAGTTCTAATAGCTTGAAACAA